CAACGCTGGGAATTTGTACTAAGGGAGAAAGAAATACATACATATATTTAGGGAGAAGATGGAAGCAGCCTCACAAACTCTGCTTTTGCAACAGGGTCTGAAATGGGGCACACAAGGCCTGGGGCTCACCCAACACAAAGTCACAAAGGGGAGAAATCACCCACTTTCGACAACTGATGCAAATGACAGTTCATGAGCAGAGACCGGAACCAAACATGAAGGACATTTTCCAAATCAGTGTAAAAGCATGCAGAGATAGCTGGATCTAAACTGAACAAGAATTGTGTGATAAATTGATGAGGTGGTGAGGAAGAGCCAGTTAGGGTCCTGACAGGCCTGCTCCGAGTATGAATACTACAAGACTGAATCTAGAAGTTTCCAGGCAAAGAATATTTCCTTGGAATGGTTAGCAGAAGAGTTCTTCTAAGGGCTTTCCCATGTTCTATTTTCTGTTTCTTGGAGCTTTTGACTTTGAGTGGTTGGGAATGGCTTGGTTTGGGTCGATCTCAATCTTTCTCTCTCCCCCATCCCCCAATCTCTTACCAGCAACAGGTTTGTTCTGTCAGATTATTAACCTTCTCTGGCTTTCTTATAAAAAGGGCACATTTGATAACATCATTTAATGGGGCACTTGGGAAATGCTCCCTTCAAGTTTTCATCTTCATTTGTGCTGATTGAAGAAACAGTGAGAGTAACTTAAGATAGAACGAATTTGAATGAGTAAATAATAGAGTGAATAAATGACAGAACACCTTTCGACTGAGCATCTCACTCGGTGAGAGGTAACTCACTTGGATCCATTAATAATAACAAAATATGAGCAAATTCAATCTAGCGTTTAGGGAATTGTCTATAATTTCTAAAACCTTTGGGTTTTCAGAGTAAACAGCTATTCTGTAGGGATTAATGGGAAATTCAACATCAGTGGAGAATGCTCCTGCCTGAGAACTTCTTAAGGAGAATCAAGCAACCACACTTTAAGAATGTTGCTTGGTATGTTTTTATTCTAGAGGAAAGGAGCCCCGGACCAATTCAAGTCTCCTGAACCTCACGTGAAGAAAGAATGTGTGGGATATTCAAGGAAGGAATGAGCACCATATGTGGACGCCCTAAAATTGACAAGTGACTCAGCCATCTGGGTGCCATCTAGGCTGCTGGCAAATGGCAGGCATCACATAAAGCCCACACAGTGTCGTGTTAGCAGAAGAAAGTCGTGAAAGCAGTTGAGATAAACTGGCTATTCATCAAGATGGATTAAAAGGCAGAATGAATTGGCACCAGAATTAGATTAAGGTGAGCAACTCTACACAACTTATTTTTGATGACCTTTAAATAATACAAATTCATTACCATTGTAAAATTTAATACTGAGAGAATTATTTTTTGATTTTGTTGTAACTTACACTGAGATAATTCTCAACTTTTTCAAAAACTTTCATACCCATTATTACATTTAGTCCCCACCCAAAACCCACGAGACGAAGAGAATTCATTGTAGAACGCTTCAAGCGTTGGGGAGGAGCTCAGGCATCATCTTGTTCGGGTTTTATTCATGTCTCCATCTGACCGAGGAACAGCGAGGATCTGAGAGTTGTACTCCTAGAGCCCAGGCGTCTAGAAACTCAGTTCATATGTTACCTGCCCACTGGATGACCTTGACTCTGGGCCGTGTAAGGCTTTGTGTCATTCCCAATTTCTTCCTCCTCCTGCACTGTTTTATCAATCCAGCAGGAAGTATCCCATTCGATCGCTCCGTGTCACAGGGTTTTGCAAATCACTGGAAATCTGGACTCAGACTCATAAGCAGAGACAGAGCAATCTTGAAATGAGCACTTTATCTGTGATGACCTAGAAAAGAGCCCCCCCCCCCCCAAGAGCCTGTGGATGACAGTGAGCCAGTGGAGTTGAGTGAGTCAGGTCTGAACTTGGGATGAACTTGATAAACTGAAGCGGTCAAGGGAAACTTAGTAAGAACAAGTCTAGGGCTCCAGGCTCAACATGTTTGCTACCAGCCTGTTCTGATCTGGAGGACGGCTGAATGCTGGGGTATGCCGAGACATGGGGGAATTGTACCCACTGGATAATTCTCACCTGCTCATGTGACTTAGGTAGCATAGGTAAGTTCTATCAACACACAGGAGGAATCCTCAAGGAAAACTGTCACGGCTCCTTCCACCCCAAAGAATTGGATATTCTTTGCAGATTCTCCTTTAATTAATGCACTATGGGATTACAGTATCCTGCCTAGAAGCTAAAACAGTGTTCTGCTGATGTTTCACGGTCAACCAAAGGTTCACCACAGCCTCTGGTCAGCTGTTGCCTCGCTTTCCCCCGGGGGTCAAATTTTATTTTATTTAGAAACATCTCAGCAGCATTTCCATTTATTTTGTGTGTGTGTAATTTTAAATTTGGAGAACCCATTTCTTAAAATGCCTGACATTTAAGAAAATCTGGCACAGTATTGCCACGTGTCACGTGTGTAGAAAGTAGCATGGTTAGCATGTTGAGTGTGCCAGATTTTCCTTAAAATTAACATTGGTGCCATATGTTGGTGCCCTAAACTCAGTATTCCTCTGGCTGTTGGAAATGCAAAAGGAAAACTTTCTCAGACTGAGTCCTGTTCTCTTTCTTTGGAGACACTGTCTGCTGTAGACATTAGCACTATCTTCCTTTGGGAGCGGAAATGAGCACATGCTCTGCAATTTTTGGTGAGAGGTCAGGCACCCAGAGGTGTGGAAGCTCGAAGATCTGAGCTTGTCAGGCAAGGGCGCCTGAAGGAATCGGGCCTGCACGGTGGCCCTGTGTCCTCAGTTTACTATTCAGCTCCTCACAGTGCCTTGGGCAGGAACTTGCCCCCAGCCTCCTCGTCCCCCATCATGACGTTTGAAAGGGCAGGTGGACAGGAGGTGGCCAGAAATCTCGTGCTGCATTTAGGGAGAGCATTACACCAGAAGTTTAGAGAATGCCTGGGCAACCCAGGGCGACAGGCAACCTATGCTCATATGGCCCCCTGGTAGGTCCCTAGCTTTTGAGATCACATCCCCTCTGAGTCCCTTCCTCTGCTCCCACCTGTCTTTGTCGCCTGTAGCCTCTGTGCTGAGAGGAAGAAGGAGCTTCTGTGTGTATGGGCCGAGCGCCTGCACCGTTCTGGTTTGCAAGGTGCTTCGTCTGTATGACCCGTCACCATGCTCCCTCGGCCCCTGGGGGGGCTCGTGCAGAGTGTGGGGTTCTCCCTGCCGCAGAGGGCACAGTCTTCTTCTGGTAAATATTGATCCTAAATCTGAACCAAGGAGTAGCGCAAGAGGGCAAAGCCGCGTCACCTCTCAAGTCACCAGAGATTCAAATTACGATGGAACTTTGCGCCCAGGGCTTTGTTCCATGGCAGCATCAAACGAGAATCATGTGCTCTCCACGCGCAGGTGGCTTTTTCATCTGTACCACGAAGCATACGCGGGATTTAAGGGGAACGTTTGAAAAACCTGCCTGTCGTAGAACCTAAGAAAGTTTGGAAATCTACCTTTTTAAGAAACTTTTTATTCTAGAAAAGTTCAAACTATGAAAGTAGAGAGAATGATACAATGAATCCTCATGTCTCACCCCAAGTTTTGATTATGACCAATCTTACTTCATCTGTACCCACCCACTCCCTTTCCTCCCAGTTAGGATGACTTCCAAGTAGGCCCACGACAGCATATTATTTCATCTATAATTTCTGGATGTATCTCTTAAACACAAGGATTTTTTCTTAAAACATAGCAACAATACTATATGTAATAGTGTAATATATGCCTTAATCATTAAATATCCACTCAGTGTTCAAAATTCCCTAGAAAATCCAACGTTTTTGCCTTGGAATGAAAACCGTGGCTGGAATTTTGTCAGTTTACTGTTGAACTAGCCAATTTTCCACCTTTCAGATTTCATAGAAAAGTCTAGAAGGTCGGAAGGAAAGATCTCTTTCTGATAATGAAGATAAAGAGAAGAGAAAACTATCTGAGCTTCCTTAACCTGGACTCGGTGGCTGCTCAGACTGCAGAGGCTGTCTACACTTCCAGCCCCAGCACGCTTCCTTTTTGTAAGCTGAGGCACGGAGGAGAGAACCGACTTCCCGGAATCCACGCAGCTAACTAATGACAAAGAGCTCAATTTTGAAGTTTAAGAGGCTGTATTTAAGATACTGCTTATCTTTTAAACTGCCACAGAGGGACCTATAGTCCAGTGCTTCAGACGTGGACTCAGACCTGTGCGGCTGCTCTGGGCGTTTAGAGCCCTGCTCTCCAGGTCAGTATTCACCAGCCACGTGCAGCTTTTGAGCGCATGAAATTGGGCCAGTCTGAACTGAGACATGGTGTACGTGTGAAAAGCACACTAGATTTCAAAAATTTAGTTTCAAAAAACCCTTAGAATACTTTATTAACAATTATTCTGTTTATGACATTTAAATAATATTTTTATTTATTGGGTTAAGTAAAATAGATTAATTCAAATTAATTTCACCTGCTTCTTTTTTACTTTTTTACCATAGCTACTAGAAAATATCAAATCACATCTGTGGCCTGTATTATATTATATTTCTATTGGACAATGCCGGTTTAGACATGGTGTTTTAAATGCAGGATTCCTCAATTATACAGCCTGGCCGGGGAGCTGGAGAGCGCTGGGAGGGCATCTATCCCACGCCTCTCTTCTCGGTAAGGCTGGACACTAGTTAAACCATCCTACGGTAAACCTTATTTTTAAAGATTTGCAGAAAAAATAAACTTTCAAACTTCCCCTGTGGCTTGGTCTAATCTAAGCAGATGAGTTCTGCAAGTAGGAGAGTTAACATCCACTTGTACGAGCCTTTTAAACAAAGCCCTAGGAATTACTTTTGAACTCTGCCTCTCCATCAACCCTCACTGTCAATCCAAACCCTTTCTAAAGAGCCCTCAGACCTCTACATTTATCCTCACTGTGATCTCCACCACCAGCTCCCTGGTCCACCCCCCGCCCCCTCTCACCTGAGCTGCCGCATTTGTTCCCTAGGCGCTCGTCCGCATCACTCCTTCTCCGCTCCTGTGGTCCCTTCTCCATGAAGCAGCCGTAGTGGGCTTCTCAACAAGCACGTACGACCATGTCATTCGCCCACGTGAAGGCCTCCAGTAGCCTCCCGCTAACTTCAGGATGAAGTTCAAAATCTGAGCATGGCCTGAAAGCCCCACATAGTCCGACCCCTGTCCTTCCTCCGGCTGCCTCTCGCCCGTGCTCCCCCAGCGGTCTGCGTTTTACTTATGTTGGCCTCCTCTCACTTCCTCATCCACACCATGGCCTCTCCTTCAGAACCTCTGAACATCGCCTCGGAACACGCCCTTCCCATTGCCAGGATCACTGTCGCCCTCCAACTCCCCTGTCTGGTTGACACATATTTATTCAGCTCCCAGCTCAAGCGTCCTTTCCTCCTGACCGCCTGCCCAGGGCAGACACACCAGTTTCGGCGCTCAGCGCACATCAGAGTGGTCATTTTACATTCTGTGTGCGATTATTCACTGAAGGTCTGACTCCGCAGACTGTCTGCTGCAGGAGGGCCGCGAGCCCCTCGGTTCACCGCCACTGCGTGTCCTCGCACACTGCCTGGCACACCGCGGGCCATCAGTTCACAGGAAGAAGGCGAGGTGGGTACCATCGAGACTCCTGCCTCTTCTTCCTCACTGCTCTTGAGTGAGAGGGAGCCCCCTCATGACCATTCCTTCCCAGCTCACCAACGTGCTCCGGACAGACCACCTGAGACCCCAGTGGAAGGACCAGCAAATTCTGTGGCCTAAAACTCTCTAGCCATCTTCTATTCCAGAGTAAAAGCCAAGCACACCCTAGGGCCCACAGGCTCCCCACGATTAGTTACCCTCTGCTCTCACACCCACATGCTCTCCCTTGCTTCCTCCACTCCAGCCCCCCTGGCTTCTGCTTGCCCAGGCCGTCTCCCACCTCAGGGCCTTTGCACATGCTGCTCTTCCCACCTGGGTAGCTCTTCCTCAGACACCAACATGGCCTCTCTTTTGCTGCCTTCAAGTTTTCGTTCACTGACCCCTTTTAAGTGTGGCCACCCTAACGCTGCCCCAGTGCCCCCATTCTCTCTCCTTCCCTGCTTTGTGTGTCCTCACACCTTCTTACATAATATATAGCTGATTTATGGTATTCACTGTCCATCTCCCTCTACCGGAAGGCCAGCCCCATGAGCACAGGGTGTTTGTCTTCTGTTCCCTGACTCATCCCCAGTGCCTAAAACAGTGTCTGCCAGGAGGTTGTTGCTCGACAAATGTTCATTGGATGAAAGACTAAGGCTCAGCCTGTGCAGCTACGAAATAGGCGGGCTTGAGCAGCCACCCGCGTGATTGTGCAGAGCTGGCCCATGTTGTCAGCCGACACACTTCAGGGTTGTGACTGGAGACCCGGGCACTCCCTAAGCCCAGAGCAGCTGCCCGATCTCCTGGCTCGGTCCTGGTAAGCGTCTGGGAGGCCCGAGGAAGCAGTTTGGTTTCAGAGAGCACCTACGTGGCTCCTGCCAACATCCCCGCACCCCACACCCCACCACACACAAACATACCACACAACCCTCTCCCTTCCCAAGGACACAACTCATGCTATTTCTAAAACAGAGATTCTGGTCCAAAACAGTAGCCAACACATAGTGCATCTCCATGTGCACAGGAAAAGAGAGGGGCCCTCTGAGCAATTTCCTGGCCCTCTATTTTTCCATTCCAGTAAATGAGGCCTCCTTTAGCTCAGGAACCTCTCTCTGAACCAAGCCAATGCCTTAACGGTGCATGCCATTTGTTGCTGCTGGGCTCGTTTCTTTGTTCTTTTATTTTCCATTTTAAGTGATCCATGCCTGGGTCCCTTATGTCATAAAATTGTTGACAACCAGCTCTATCAGGTGTTGACTACTAGTTAAGGCGCAGACAGTGCTAATGGAGAGTTCCCTTCCTAAACAGGCATTTTATTTAGTCATGCATAATACTTAAATTGTACTGTCTGCCTTCAAAGGGTTTTGCAAACTTTACACTCTGTTAGGCCGGGCAGTGCATGTGTCCACGCTTTACGGCTGGAAAGGCAGCACAGATAAACAATTTGCCTAAGGCAATAGCTAGCTCTGCTTCAGACAAAGGACTTTGTCTTTTTTAATAGATAAGGAAAATGTGACCAATAAAAAATATAGTTCTTCAGATTAGCGGTTACCAGTGGGGAAGGGGGTTGAGGGGTGGGCACAAGGGGTAAAGGGGCACATTTACATGATGACTGACAAATAATAATGTACCACTGAAATGTCACAATGTTATAAACTATTATGACTTCAATAAAATAATAATTAAAAATGTAGTTCTTTCTCAGCTGTCTTCGTCCGTAAATTGCAGAAGTTCTGCGTTCTGTCTGTGTGCTTTTCAGGCCACGTGTGTGACTGGCTCCCTTGGCTATCCTGGCCCCTCCTTGTCTCTCACACCACTTCGCAGTCCTCCTCTCTCCCCTCCCCCTCCGGTCCTCGCCTTTATCCTCTCCTGGTTTCTGGGGTACTCCAGCTGCAGGGGGAACCTGAGGGTAACTCTTATCTCTGTCCCTCTGGGACGCACTTCAGGTGATAAGCATTTGTTGCTGATGGATGGGGAAAGCTTGAGGTCAAGTTCCTGGGTGGGGAGAACACCATGGACTGAGTCAGTGTATCTTCCTGGACTATCAATTCTATGTAGTAGTGAGTAATGTAAAACATTTTAAATGAAAATAAATATGGATATGTTATGGGACAGAATGCAAAAAATCAGGACAGGTTAAAGTCTGAAATTCCACCTGTGGCAGACTACTTAAGATTTCCTTTCTAGATTTTTCTCTCCCATTAGGGGTACTTGGACTGCACAAGTCTGAGAAGAACTGACATAACACAGCATTTCCTCTGGGCTCCAGGGAGATGAGGCATTGGGATTGGTTTTCTAAGGGCTAGGAGAATCAGTCTTGCTACTTTAGTTTTCCTTTGAGCAAGGATTTTTTTTTTTTTTTTTTTTTTTTTTTTTTTTTGGTGAGACCATCTTGGAATTAATGGAGGGAATCTGGGGCATCCTTTCCCCTGGACCTTGAATGTCCACCAGGCAGCAGCCTTTCCAAGCGAAGAAAGAGTGGCCCTTCTCTCAATGTTTAGTAAATAAAAGCAATAAGCAAGGAGACCTATGGCACTTGAGACTACGATTAAAAAGAAAACCTGGAGGGGCTGGCCCCGTGGCCGAGTGGTTAAGTTCGCGCGCTCCGCTGCAGGCGGCCCAGTGTTTCGTCGGTTCGAATCCTGGGCGCGGACATGGCACTGCTCGTCAGACCACGCTGAGGCAGCGTCCCACATGCCACAACTAGAGGAACTCACAGCGAAGAATACACAACTATGTACCGGGGGGCTTTGGGGAGAAAAAGGAAAAAAATAAAATCTTTAAAAAAAAAAAAAGAAAACCTGGAAAGATGAAATTTCTAGTACATAATGATTTTACACTGAATGTGTTGAAGACCTTTAAAGAGAACAGAGAAGAGTAAAATAAAATAAAGGCTGAGTGTGGTACCCTTGTTCTGGCTGTCACCCGCCCACCCCCGGGGGCGAGGGCAGACCTCCTTGAGCCCTGAGACACTTTAGCCAGCGTGGCCTTTGGAGAAAGGATGCGAGCGTGTAGCCTGCTTGTAGAACGCAGCCGCGATAGGAGCGCAAGGAGCTCAGGAGAGGGAGTCAGAGGGCCTGGCGTTGCATCCTGGCTCCCCACCTGCTGACTGTCCTCAGCCTGTTTTCTCCGCTGTAATCACAGTGTTCATCAATATTTCTAGCCCTCCTGGGGACACAGGTGGATTGCATGTCCCTGTTCCCTTTATATGGAGGCATGGCCATGAGACTTGCTCTGGCCAACAGAAGGGGAGTACAAGTGACATGTGTCATTTCCTTGTGGAATCTTTGAGAAGTCATCCATGATTCCACATAATTTTCTTTCCCTTTGCCATAGCAACCTGAGACATTTCCAATAATAGCTGTTGGGTCAGCCTGGGGCCCAAAGTCGAGATGACCTAGGTCAAAGGTACAGTTGATCCATGTAATGGATATGCAATGGAGGGGAGACACAAACCCTTGTTTTCTTTCTTTCTTTTTTAATTTTTCAATCCTTGGCAATTTGGAGGTTGTTCATTATTAAAGCCAAACCTGGTCTGTCCTGATGGATACACTACTTCACGGATCTGGAGAACGATTAGAAGGAGAGGCTGCGTAGGCAACTGCCCGGCCCACAGCGGGGGCTGTGCGTGCTGCTTCTTCCTCCCCCACCAAGCTCTCCGCTCTGCGCTCCTCCCTGGCCCTTCCTTACCAGTCCTGAGCTATTCTACTCTTCAGAGAGTTGTTTTCAGTACCAGAAGAAGGAAAATGAACTTCAAGACTTAAAATGTTTCCTAATACCCGTTAAAAAAGTGAGAGAGCCCCTGAGCAGAGCAGAGTTGGGAATTCCCATGAAGGGAAGAGAATCTTCTCTCTCCAATTTACAAAAGAGAAAGGAGCCAAGGGTCTTATCAAGGAAATCAGCCAGAAAGTAGAACCAATAAACTTTGAAAATTTCCAACCACAGAGAACTCTCCGCCCTCCAGCCTAATGCTGCTCTCATGGAGCTGGGGTCAGGGCACAGACGTCTCCTGAGGATCCAGTTCAGACTGTCCTTTAACAGGTCATCTGTCCTGGAGAGAGGTGGAGTCCTTGACCTACTTAGTGCCAGCTTTCCTGACATTGCAGCGAGAATGATGAAGATGGTCGGACCTCGAGCTTTTAGCTTTTTCCTCACTGGCTCCCTAAGACGCCTTGCCCCTCCTCCACTGGATCCAGGCTGGAGCTCCATGGGCCTCGGAGGGGAACCCAGCAGGGCCACTGCTGCTGGTTTGGCCAAATCACTTAATCACTTAACAACTCATTCCACTAGGCCATCAAGCTAATCCCTTCTTAGGATGTATAAATCCACTTTGCAGGAAAAAAAGTTCCTACCTGAGATTATTCTACAAGGCCATGTCTTTGAGCTTTATTCAAAGAGTAAATCATAATCGATCAATTTAAATGGCATTCATTAGGGCTGTGAGTCTCCAAATGGTTGAAAATTTTGAGAGGAGGGGAAGGAAATAGGAGGAGAACATAGATGAGACAGCGCTGTTTAAGGCCTCCACCTTGGAAGTCACTTCCAGAAATTAGAAGCGAGCAGGACAGCTCTCTTTCAGAACCTCCAGTGGGAGAAGAGACTTGCAGAGAAATGGGAAAGGCGACAAAGAGAAGCATTCATTCAGAAGATTTGTATTAAGCATCTATGGAGGGACAGGTACTGTGCTGGGCTTGGAGGGACAATGGTGAGAAGACAGTCATGGCCCCATCCTTCTCAAGAGTAGTGGGCGCTACTGCTATTTTGTGTGCGTTCATTGCAGAACTTTAATATCTCTGCCCACCCCCAACCACTAGATGCTAATAGTGCCCCCTAGTCATTCTGATAACCAGAAGGCACCCTCCCTGTTTCCAAATGCCTCCATGGGCGACTGGACTGCCCCCAGTAGAGAACTCCTGAACTGAGTGTGATGGCTGCTGAAGATGATACAATAGAGAGCTCTCAAAGGAACCCCAGTGAGGATGGAAGGCGCCAAGGAGAAGCCCACCCTGAGACCCCCTTCCTCTCCCTGAGATGGCACTTGCTGTCTACATTTTGCCCTAACCTGTGGACTTGGAGGTCCAAAGGGGCAGGACCAGGTCTGAGATGCTGTGGAGCTCTCAACAGACACTGATTTTAATTGGATGGTTTGAGGAGTGAATAGAATTATTTGAAGAAAGAGGAGGAAGCTATAAGGGGTGAGGATTGGTTAGAAGGAACCCCTATACATCCCCTGATGGTCAACCCATCTGCCTAGGAGATATTAGCAGGGGCTCTTTAGACCTGACCACTGCCCCAGGGAAGGGGCTTAGAACACGTCAGAATTCATGCTGTGTGACCACCTCCAGGGTCTGGCACATACTTTTGGCAGCTCAGAGGCCCCTTTCTCGTTTTCAGGTTGAGCGTGATTCCTTGGAGGAAGGGGGAGGAGGCTAAGAGAAAGAGAAACGAGCAGTCATGGGCCCCAGCATGGCCGGCAGAGCACTAGGAACATTCAGGGGAGCGACAGCACGTGGAAGCCGAGTGATGCATGAGCGGGAGCAGGAGCTGGGAAGGTAGGCAGCCCAGAGTTTGAAGTCTAGGCCTCCCACTTACCGACTGTGACAAGTTACTTAATCTCTGAGCCTCAGCTTCCTCATATGGAAAATGGTGATAAAAAAAAGTAATAACCCACTTCACGGGGCTATTATGTGATTTCAATAAAATAAAAAATATAAGCAGCTGATACCAAAAAAAAAAAAAAAAAGCATTCAATAATAGTAACTCTACTAGTATTTGGGCTTCCTAATAGCACTGGTAAGAAGATATCCTCCTGGTTGTGAAGTTGTAAAGAGGAAGGAGGAAGACTGGAGATTACGGCTGGGAGCAAGGAAAACAACAAGGCAAATCGAGAATTCTCACCGCCAGCTCTTTGTTGTCACTCAGGCCCCTTATCTGCACCTTCAGAGGGAGAATCCTGGAAAGGGGCCTCTGATAGCCCAGCTCTAATGTGCACCAGCCAAACAACTGGGACGGGCAGAGAGGGGACATTCTGGGTCCAACCTGACGGATGGGGACAGACCAGAGAGGAAGCAGAAGCCTGCTGGTGAGGAGATGAAACCAGAACCTACTGAGACGGCGGGAGGACCTGGCCTGTTCTGGAGGAGGTGTAAGGGAGACCTGTGGCCTTGAGAGCTTGTGTTTAAATGCTTCAAAGAGCTGACATTAGAAGGACTGGGTTTGTTTCATGTGACCCCAGTGGGCAGAAACAGGGCCAATGGATGGAGGTGACATGGCATAACCATTAATTCACTGGAAACTTCCGGAAGGCTCAACTGGATCCTATTCACTTTAGCGTCCATAGCACCAGCACAGAGCCTCGCCCACATGGGACAGCCAAGGAGCAGCAGCCGCTGGGACTGTTCCTGGCTGGTCTTGGAAAAAGCAGCCGATCCTGAGAAGCTGATTATCTCTGCATTGGCCCGTCTGCTTGAGACCTTGGTTAAAAAAACAGTGCTGTCAGCCAACACTGAAACTCAGGGCA